CTGACCAGAGACAGACAGGTAAAGAGAGAAAGCAAGCCACCAGATCCAAGACTTGAACCACGGTCAGCCATGTGGGAGTCCAGCACCTTAACTGCACACCACCTGCCAGCCCCAACAATGTTTTATTTCTTAAGTTGGGTAGTGAGTACACGATGTCAAGTGTTACTTTTGATGCTTTTTAATGTCTAAAAATTTTCACAATATTACAATACATTAATTCAGATTTTTGGAGTCAGCCTCACTCAGCATGTTTGGGAATCTGCGGTTCTCATGCATGATGAAGTTTGCCAAACAACTAAAATAGAGAGTGAATCTCCGAATGAATGGGCAAGAAATCAGGTACAGAAGGGTTTAATTTACAACACTCTGACTTGTACACTGTAAAATAATGTCTAGATTATCAAGTAGTAATAACAAGAATTAGAAAAATCACATTGTGCTTAATTTTCCTACCCAAATAATAAAATATGAACATTTAACATAGAAATTGTAATAGCTACTATTCATACTTAGTGTTATTTGACAATAATATCTTTCAGGGATAGAAATACAACTAAAGTAACCTTCCTTATTTTGGTAAAGAAAAAAAAATGATTCCAAATGTATACAGCTAAAGAAGAAAAATAAATCCCAACTTTTAAAAGAAACTACCAACCAACCACTAATACTTTTTGCCACTTAAAATTGCACAATTTCTAACTTCATCAACTAAGTTAGTTTGAACATCATCTACTTCTGGAGTTAAGAAAAACAGGCAGGAGGAAACGAATCATACCTTCCTCATATTTTCTGCATCCATGGCAACTATTTCCAGTTGGTCCCTCTCCTGCTTGACTTCAGTCAATCTCTGCAGCAATGTCTCCTTCTCATCCTGTAACTTCCTGCACTCATTCTGGGCCTGAGTTGCCTGACCTTTGATGGTCCCCAGGTATTCCTGCAATCCACTGATGACACCTTCTAAATCCTTTTTCAGGGCTTCATTTGCTGCTATCTGGCCTAAGCAAGGTGGAAAAAAAGTAAAAATGTATAATTTTAAAGTACTGCATTGTGCACTTAGGTATTTGTTACTTAGCCAGGAGTGAAATTCTATGCTATAAATTATTACCTATTTTATTTTTCTTTCTCAGGATATAACATTTTCTTTCTATTATCCATAGTATAGGAGTATTAAGCAAGTAGACACTAAAAATACTATATTTAAGGGGTAACGCTTACAAAATGCCTTACTCATACTGTAAAAAGTTCAATTTCCAAATAAAGTAATGAAAAGTGTGTGGCAAAACTGTCAGTTATTGATACTATACAAAACAAAACATTCAATATGCAACAGTGATCAAAGACTAGCAGTGTAAACATGTAAACTGAAGACTTAAGAAAAACCAATAACCTACATATTGAGTAGCCACTATGTGCTGGGCACGTTATGAACACTAGCTCGTTTAACCCCCCGGAACAATTATGATCAAGATAAAAATAAAAATTGCCTAAGGTGACACAACTGAAAATGGCAAAACAGAGATGGGACCTTTTTAAGCCCAGACTCACACTACAGCCTATTGTCTTCCTCTTTCACTATTATCAGAATGTCACAATATAAATTTGCATTGCAAAAGTATATCATAAGATACTTTCTACTTCTTAAAATTAAATGCTAAATTTCCTGATGCCATTGCCTCTTCGCATTTTATGCCACAGAAGAAGAGTATTACATGCCAGAGCTTGTCACGATGTGCTGACTTCTCACCTACTGAATAGAATGACCTCACTCACTAGGCATCAATGCCAACAAAACAAAATGGTTAGTAAAATGTTTTAATGTTATTAAACAATTTAGGATTCCTGCAAATATTTCTCTGCCAAATCTTGGTACTAAGAGCTGAAATGTATTTAGCTAATATCTAGATTAATGCCTGTCTGGGTATCATCTTTCTTTTATTAACAATGAAACTGATTCACCTTAAACCACACTTAAATTCTCACCTTCGGTAAGCTGTTGTTCAAGGTCCTTAATCTCTTCAGTCTCTTTGGCAATTCTAGTAAGTATCTCATCCAAACGGCTTTCGAGTTGTTTGTATTGCTTGTTCATAATGTCAAGCTGTTGTTCTTTACCTCTTTTCTGAGCCTTCATATGGGACTGAATTTAAAACAAACAAACAAAAAACCCATGACCTCAATTTCTTTAAGCTCTTTTAAATATAATATGCCTTAATAATACTTTAAAAGAAAAAACAGAAATTAAATTGTCACAATTTGCATCTATCTTGTGTTAGGCCCTGTACTGTTTTCACTTAAACCTTAGGATAACTTGACGTGTGAATGATCTCCATTTTACAAATGAGAAACTGAGGATCAGAGAGGTTAAGTGATTTTTCCAAGGACACAGCTAGTAGGTAATGTAATCATGTTGAGTGTGAGCTGCACTGCTTTTTTTGGGAGAGGTTTTTGCTATAGGGAGTGAGTGCTGGTCAGAAAGACAGAGGAGAAACCAGCCCCCCCTCCCTGGGGCGGGGATGGCTGCACCACAATCCCTTTTCCTCTATTCTCTTTTTGGGATCTTGGGCACACATGCACATGCGCTCAGCGTGAGTTTAAGCCACTGGGTCCGGGACTCAAACTGCAGTCAACTCCATGGGAGTCCAGCAACAGACATAGCCATTTCGTCAACTACTGGTCCCAAGCTACACTGCTTCTAAAATGCATCTTTGTAAAAGGTTTCCAGGGCCAGCCCCAGAGCCTGGTGATTAAGGGAGCTGGATCCCACATATTCAACCATGAATCTCAGTCCTGGCAACCTGAAAAAAACACCAGGTATGTGTGCATACATGCCTGAAAATCCAACAGGATGGAGAAATGGAGGGGAATGAATTACAACATTACTATGGCCCATTGGGGAGTGCTTTCTCCCTCTCTCCCTCTCTCCCTGATGAGTGCATGCACCCTCTGGTAATTAAATTAATTGATTATATTGACATATATCTATGGGAAAAAACTAAAAGAAGAGATTATATTTGGGAAGAAAGATTAAAGGAGATTTTTAAATGACTTTTTTATATTTTAAAAGTGCTTATAATAGATATGTAATAACTTTAATTTGAAAAAACACATTAAATGTACTTTTTATAAAAAGTTTCTTACAGAAAAATCTACACAAAATAACTATTTGAAATTCAAATTTATTTCTATTAATAATCAATCTTTACATAAACATTTTGCTTTTATATTCAATGAAATGGGTGCTAAGATCTCAAGCCCATGGGTCTCAGGTGACCACCCCTATACCACTGACCATGCTTCTGGTGGAAAACAGAGCTTTTGCACACCCACACACTTTCTGACACCCTGATAGTTATGGCATTAGAGAGACACTTTTAACTCAAATAAGTGATTCTATTACTCAGGTGTGCTTAGGAAAACAAACAGAGAACCAATGACCTAGTCTAACCCTTTTTTATACACATGAAAAAAACTGAATCCCAGACTTGTCAAATGACTTGCCCTGGAATCCTTAGGCAACTGTTCATATGGAGACAAAATAACTCCCTAGAGAACCTTTGTCTTCCAGCTCACACCCTTATGAATCTTAGGTATGCCCCATAGGATCAGAGGAATAGAACAATAAATGAAGAGAAAGTTACCAGGTGAGAGAACTGAGACTGAACAACAGTTGCCAGGTATCTCAAGTCTTATAACCCACGTAGCCAAAATAGAGCATATTTTGGGACCAGTAGATGGTGTGGTGTTTAAGGTGCTGGACTCCAGATGGCTGGCCACAGTTCAAGTTCCAGACCTGGTGTCTTACTTTCTTACTTTCCGTTTCTCTCTCTCTCTGCCTCTATCTGGTCAAATTAAGAAAATAAATACTAAAAAATAAATAAAATTTAAAAAATAAATCCAAAGAGCACTTCTCAATTTGGAAGTTGCTTCCCCTAACTATGAGAAAGAAAATCTTTTCATTTTTTGATTGTTTTTTATTTTGTTGCCAGTAACAACTGACACTTTTGAAAGTCTTTTACCTGCATTAAAAAAATACCTGTCTGAACTCTTCCTGAAAAGGTAACTGCAGACAACTGCTTACATTTTAAGTAAATTTAGGATGTCTACAGATCCAGAAAAAAAAATTTTTAAACACTGCATTCATATCTAGAATATATATAAAAATTTTTTTAAATTCAACATTAAAAAAAAAAATCACCAAAACCTTTATACGCAGGACAAAAATCAGGCTCAATACGTCAATGATGTGCATTAAACACATGGGAGTAAAAGCAGATGGTGTAGTTTTTCACTACCATGAAGCTCACAAGAGTTATTTTAAAAACAGGAACTTACATCTCTGACTCCTCCTCCTTTTAAGTCCTTTGTACAAAGTGAGAGAAAATTATCATACCTTAACTTAGATTTTCTCCTGTTACAGCTGAGGCGTTGAGATCAGAGAAATTGTGGGCGGAACGCTTTCTAATGCTGTCTTCAAATTCGTGTGCTTTTCCCTCTCTGACAGCCACATTTTTGCTAGCGCCTTCGAGCCTCGGTAACTTTGCAGCGCCTCAAACCACATTCCTGGTTAAGAGTGAGTGGCAGCCTAGCCTACCCAATCACTAACAGGTTCTGTAAACAGGGCCCACCTTCCGTGCTTTAAATCATAACACAGGAAGCTCCCAAGGGCCAATCACACCCGAACTTTTCAACAGCTCACTAATTCCCTGCAGGGAACAGTTACGTTTGTTTCCATAGGGCATTTCCCGATAGGAAAGAACAATACAAATTTTTATTATGCCTGCTCCTGTGATAATCTGTGTTACTAAAATAGCCACAAACAAGTTTATAACTAAAATGTGATTTGATTTTTAAATGGTACTGTTCTCTGAAATGCTTACATTTTTGAAAACCTAACTAAAATTGGTTCTGAGCTAATTTAAAGTAATTAATCTCGTTAGACCTTTCATCCTTTTATAAGGAGAAGTCATTGTCAGTAGTATAAGCAAGAACTCTTCCTAAAAGAGTGATTGGGGCAAACCACTTAAGCTTTCTAAATCACTTTTCATCCTCTGCAAACTGAAACAAAGAATGCCACCAACTTCACATGGATGTCATGATAAAATAAAGGGTCTCATCAGTATATGCAGAGTATCTAGCACAATGCAAGACACATTAAAGACACTTAATATGTTTGTTTTCTATCTGTTCTATTTCATCAAGGTCATGTTTTTACTTTTCATTGCTAGAAGGCACATATGCTTCCAGAGAGAGACAGAGACACAGAGAGAGAGAGAGGGAGGGAGGGAGAAGAAAGGAGAGGAATAAAGTACCCTCCAATGTGATGTAGTCAGTCACAATCCTTTCAACTTCTTTTCTCCATCCTGTCAGGATTTGGGGTATACTGCATGCACATGCACCCAGTGTGTATTTTAAGGTGCCAGAATTCAAGCCAGGATTCAAGTCTTGCAGTCTGTTATGTGGGATACATTGCTCTCTTAACCACTAGGCTATAGGGCCAGCCCCTTAAGCTTTTACTTTTAAATTCTATTTACTATTCAGAAAGATAGAGCCTAACACTAGCCAATAAAGGGATATTCTCTGGTACTGAGACTTATGGTAGTGTTAATAAAACCAAAAAGGACACTTAAATCTGACTTAAATGTTTCCTCCCTGCTACTGATTGATTCTGGCTATTTTTAAAACTTGGATACCATTACTATATCTCATTAGGCTTCTTTGTGTATATAATTCTTTACAGAAATCAAGCAAGAATTAATCTCCCTGTCTGCCAAAAACCTCAGAGTTGATGGTCGAAGGCAAATACATAATCCACATTTTAATTAGTCTCATAGATTAAAAAACTGGAAGGGGCAGCAAAGGATATTTGGGTAGGGACTATAGGTGGGTTCTGTTCTACTCTCTGTGATGCAAGCACTCAATAAAAATGGGGCTGGCTCCTAGGGATACAGATCCCAGTACAATACACTTCCTGCCCTAAGGAGCCTTACATAGGTGGCAGACTTCTGAGCATATAAGTACAATAAACATATTTATGATCACAGTATATTATTTCAAATCTCCTATTTTCTGGAGGTATTAAATGAAATTTTAAATAAAAATACTTTTGGCTTCAATTTTAATACCAAGTTTTAGGCTTCTGCTAGACTTTACGTGCCAGGTCTTTAAAAAGTCCATGGAAAACAGATATTATCAAACAACTATGCAAAGATTTTAAAAGTTTTTACACCAAAATAAACTCATATTTTAACTCCATTTTTCCATAATTTAAAAAAAATATCATATCTGATTGAACAGTTACCCTTTATTGAAACTAGCTGGCCCCATGGCACAGCATCATAAGCTCTTCAGCGAGGAAGACTGATCCCACTTAGTAATGGGGTTTGAATTTGGGATGCTTTGGCCTCACACAAGATGTACTTGTGTGCCTAAGATCCTAATAGGATACAGAACTGAAAAAGAATTGAGGCAAGACCAGGCCCCATTGGGAGGTGCTTTCTCATTCTTTCTCTCTTGCATATATCCTCTATCATTATAAAAAAAAAAAATGAGCTGTTCTACGAAAAACACACATGATGGGAACAGCAGTTGGCATAATGGTTACGTCGCTGGACTCCCACATAGTGGACCACAGTTCAAGTCCCGACCCGGTGACTTAAAACTCATGTGGGTGTGCATGCATGTCCAAGATCCTGAGAGGAGAATGAAGGAGAAGGGCTTATGGTATGGCCATCCCCCTGGGGGGTGGTGGTAGTGATTTCTCACTTTCTATCTCTCTGGCAAGCACACATGCACTACAGCAAAAATCTCTAAAGAAAAGTATTTTATTAAAAAGCTTAAATAACTAATTTGTCAAGTACTTAAATCAATTATAGCACATTATTCTTAGTTTGTTAAATTCCACCAGTTCTGTCAATCCAGAGTAAATCTTAACTTTTTAAAAAAGATAATTTTACTTTTTATTTTTTAAAATTATCTATTTAATTTTATTTGTCATTATTATTACTATTATTTTTAATTTGACCAAAGAGAGACAGAGAGAGAAAGGGAAGGTGAGAAAGCAAGCTGCCAGGTTGGGGATTTGAACTGCAGTCAGCCATGTTCAGTGCCTCAACCACCTGCCAACCCAAAGATAACTTTATTATTCAAAGTCACCAGGAGAATATGTAGGAAGCATTTTTACTTATATTTTCGAAACATCCACTAAAGGGACCAGTAGGTGGCGTGGTGGTTAAGGTGCTGGACACGCCCATGTGGCTGACTACAATTACAGTTCAGGACCTGATGGCTTGCTTTCTTACTTTCCCTTTCTCTCTCTATCTCTGTGTATGTGTCTTTCTCTGGCCAAATTAAAATAAATGAATAAATAAATAAATAAATAAATAATTCTTAAAAAAATAATATAAGCCATTAGTAAGAATTCTCAGGGTAGAGACAGAAAGAGGCAAGAGCCTGATGCTATTATCCAGCCACCTGACCACATCTGGTCACATCACAGAAAGATATATTCCAAAGAGAATCAATTCCCCCACCCCATAGGTTGCGTGTGCTCACCAGAGACGGACGGACGGAAAGAGAGAAAAAGTGAGAAATCACCCTCTAGGGGAGATGGCCATGCTGTAATCCCTTCTTCGTTTTCCTCTCAAAACCTCAGGATTTTGGGCACACACACACACACAAGCACCTGGAGTGCTTTTCAAGTCACCAGGTCTGAGTCTCAAACTACAAAGTTGGCCGAGTGAGTACAGCACCTTAAACACCATATCACCTGCTGGCTCCAAAATGGTTCATTTTTATGAATAAAACAAGAAATTTTTACAGATAAAGTATAAAATAAGAAGCCTGAGTGGAACATTTGTATAAAGGATTAAAGAGGCAGAAAAAGGACGCTGAATTTCCCTCAGTTCTTTCAGCTTTTTTTTTTTTTTAATAATTTTTTTTTTTAGCTTTATTTGTAAAAATTTCTAGAGAGGGACAGAGTCAGAGAGAGATAGAGAGAGAGAAAGTGAGAAAGTAAGCCACCAGTTCCAGGACTTGAACCACAGTAGGCCATGAGGGAGTCCAGTGCCCCTAACCACCACACCACCTGCTGGCCCCAGTTCTTTCTGCTTTTAAGAAAAAAGAAAAGAGGGCAAGGAGAGAGAAAAGGATAACAAGTTTGGAGAATATTTTGGGCAGGCATCTGTTGCTCTGAAATACAATGAAGCTTAGCCACTTTTAAAAATGTCAGTATACAATGCAGCCATCATTTACTGAAAACTACTTCCTTTAACCCCCAGGTTGTTTTAGGATATACACATACTATTTCATACATGTATACATGTATATACATGTAAATCCATATGTTTACCCATAATACATACATATATGCATACTGATATATACATACATATTTTAAACACACACACATACACATCCCTTAAATTTGTGCTTCAAACTAAGAGAGACTTTCAGAAAAGACTCTGTTGCTAAAAATGATGACACAGGTGGCCAGCAGGTGGCATGGTGATTAAGGTGTTGGACTGCCACATGGCCAACTGTGATTTGAGTTCCAGACTCAGCTACTTGGAAATCATGCCAGGCATGTGTGTATAGATTCCCAAAATCCTGAGAGGAGAATGTGGCCCTTCCCCCAAGGGGTGACTTCTCACTTTCCTTTGCACTGTCTCTCTCTCTCTGGCGAGTGCACACACCCTATAGAAAAAATCTAAAAAAATTTAAAAATAAGAAAAAAAAAAAAGATATGTACTACTTAGAGTAACATTCTAGTCTCCATAACATAAGCCAACATTTTAAAATTTACTTACATGCTTTGGGTCTTTGGAGTCCAAGTTATCTATGACTATTTGCAGGTCCTTGATCTCCTCCTCCTTTTTAGCAATTTCTTGTCTTTGCTTTTCCATCTGCATTTCTAGATCCAGAGCTTCCTGCCGTAATTTATTTAGAAGTTGTATCTTACCACTCAACTGCTTGAAAAGAAGGTCTTTCTCTGCTTCTGAAATCTAATCCCCCAACACCCCAACACATAATTAACAGAAGAAAGCAAAACTGATTTATCATCTCTTGGCTTGTACTGATCAACAGGCCCTTAACTGATACACACCGCTCTATATTTCCATCTCCTTCACCTCATTTCATTCTCATGCATTAACTAAGGTGACCTTAAATGAATGCAGAAATGATCAGCTACTCTGTTTTTTGTTTGTTTGTTTGTTTTTTAGAGAGAGATTTTTGGTATAGGACAAGTGTGCTCACTGGAGAGACAGAGAGAAAGTGAGAATCACCCCTCTGAGGGGATGACCATGCCACAATTCTACCTTCTCCATTCTCCTCTTGGGATTTTGGGAACGCACACACAAGTGCCTTGTGTGAGTTTTCAGGTCTCCAGGTTCAAAGCTCAAATCATGGTTTGCCAGGTAGGAGTCCAGCAACATAACCATTACACCATCTGCTGGTCCCAGGATCACCTACTCTATTACCCAAAGCCCTTCAAAGGTTTTGCACTGCAGAATAAAATTCAAACTCTTTATATCAGCCTTTGAAGACTGGCATGATCTTTACTTCCTACTATATTCTCCTGTCCTCTGCAGAGGAACCTTCACTCTGAGGCTTTAAATACACTGTCACCTCTGAATAATATATTCCTTCCCTCAGCCTCTCTAACTGGCTCCTTCTCATCCTTTATGTCTCAGCCTAAATATCACTTGCTCAGAGAGGCTTTCCTGGGTCCTCACAATCTAATTTATAGTTCTTTTAGTCCTCTGAATTTTCTCCTTCTACAACATTGATGCTTTTAATCACATATTTCCTTTCAACATTTTTATGCTTATTTATTGTCTATTTCCTTACAAGTCTGTCCTTGATGGAGGTCACACATTGTTTTGTTTACTACCAGGGCCTAACACAGTGTAGTAAGCTTCCAATAAATTTCAATTAACTTCTAGTTACTACATAATTTGAAAGTGACAATACAAAGTATCTTTTAAAACAACCTACCATTTGAATGTCACATTCTCATTCTATTATGGTTGAATTCAGATACCATTGTAATTTTGAAAATCAGAGAGGAGAGGAGAGGAGAAAAGATTATGGCATGGCCATTCCCCTGTGGACTGATTTCTTTTTCTGTCTCTCTATCTTTCCCTGGCAAGTGCATAACCACATAGACCAAAAAAAAAAAAAAAAAAGAGGTTGTAAATAACTTACATTGTTTATTTACATACTTAAAAACTACAATGTTGGGGTCGGCAGGTGACAAGATGGCTAAGGTGCTGGAGTCCCAAATGGCTGACTGCGGTCTGAGTCCTAGACCTGGTGGTTTGCTTTTTAGCGTAATGGCTATGTCACTGGACTCCCACGTAGTCGACTGCAGTTCGCGTCCCGGACCCGGTGGCTTAAAACTCATGCCGGGCACGTGTGCGTGCATGCCCAAGATCCTGAGAGAATGGAGGAGAAGGGACTGCGGCGTGGCCATCCCCCCTAGGGGGGGATTTCTTACTTTCTGTCTCTCTGTCTCTGTCTGTCTGGTGAGCGCATGTGCCCTATAGCAAAACAAAACAAAACAAAACAAAACAAAAAACTCCAAAAAAAAAAAGGATCCTATTTGACTCTGAAACTTATTATTTCATAATTAATTAAGCAGTATTGATTTAAAATCTGTTTAATATGGTTTTAAATGGAAAAAAATTTATTTTTCATTTCCTCTTAGCATTGTTGCTTTGCTCTTACATACCTTTTTTAGTTGTATAGCTTCTTCCAGTTGTTTAAATTCTTCAGTAGCTCTTAAAATTTGTTGCTCTGCCTTTTCTATTTCATTATGCAGTTCTGATAGTCGTGTTTGAGCTAGAAATTTAAAAATGATGTTCACAAACACACACAAGAAAATCTTGAATTCTGACATTTCTACCAGATTTTCTTTATTTGTATAACCTTCTCCTTCTAAAAAAAATCCTGTCATTACAGACCTCAGAAATCATAAAAAGTATGGTAGCTTTAATTTCTAGAATAAAATATTTCATGGTATGCTATAGAACTATAATTGGCCCTTTCATTTGTAAAATTCTTAATATAAAAGGAATATCTGAGGCTGGCAGGTGGCGTGGTGGTTAAGGGCGCTGGACTCTCATGTGGCTGACCATGGGTCAAGTCCTGGATCTGGTAGCTTGCCTTCTCACTTTCTCTCTCTCCTTCCTTCTGTCCCTCTCTGGTCAAATTAAAATAAATAAATACAGTTAAATAAAATAATTATTTTTTAAAAAAGGAATATCTAATTGATATTCTTAACACTAGTAAATACTCAAAGAATATGGATTTTATTGGGAAGTATGTTACTTTATGTGTCACTGAGTTATAACTAGGTTTGGTCTATTAATGAAAACAAAAACAAACCTGTGTGTTTGATGCTTTAGGATGAGATTCAACATAAAGAAGTTTACTAATAGGTAGTCTCTTTCAGCTGGAAATTACCTCAAATCAATTACTTTCTACCTCAAATTACAGATTTCTCTCTCGCTCGCTACAGAACTATGAGCCCCTTGAAGCTAGTCTACACAAACATCTATTTTTTCTTTCCCCCTCCAGAGCATTGCTTATAAACTGAGAGAACTAGTCTCTTCTCTCCCCTCGCCAAGTCAATCTGTACTGGTCTTCTATGTCTTCCATATAACTACCAAGAAAGGAAGATGAACTCTAATCTGATTGGTGAGAGATCCACAATGAGCCATGATTGCTAGCAGAATGCATGAACTCAGATTGGCTTTCTCTTTCTTTCATATATCCATGCAACTGAGTGGATAAGTAGATTCAGACTGTCATTGGCAGGGTTTCTAAAGTGCCCTCTTGGCTTGATGACTTCTATGTGATTTGTCAAAAGGCAGTAAAATCCCTTAGATGGAGAGGGTGGGGTGATGAGGGGAGAAGATGAGGCAGTATAGTGCAGGGCTCATCAGAAAGAGTCAGAGGTCAGTCTTAGGCCCAAACCTAGAGTGTGTTCTATTCCAGCTTATCCAAAGCACTGGTTTAGGTTTTGGCTACATGCAAAGTAATCAATAAAGTGGTTCTTTATTTGCTTCAATTAGTAGTAATTATGTCTCTGAATGTATAGGTGTAATGCCGATAGCAGGATGAGATTTATGCATGCTTGGATCCCCGAAATGTGCTGCCAACAAATTACTGTCAAAAACCCCATTCTCAGGAACCAGCAGTTAGCGTAATGGCTATGTCGCTGGACTCCCACATAGTCGACCGCGGTTCGCGTCCCGGACCCGGTGGCTTAAAACTCACGCCAGGCGCGTGTGCGTGCATGCCCAAGATCACGAGAGGAGAATGGAGGAGAAGGGATTGCGGCGTGACCATCCCCCCTGGGGGGGTGATTTCTCGCTTTCTGTCTCTCTCTGTCTCTGTCTGGCGAGCGCATGCACCCTATAGTGAAAATTTCTCCAAAAAAAAAAAAACCACATTCTCACTTATAACAGGAATCATTTAAAAAAATAATCTGCCCACATTCTCAATTATAACAGGAATCATTTAAAAAAATAATCTGCTCAATGAATTACTACTTTGGTTTTAGATTTTTCATGTAAACAATGTGATAAATACCATAAACATGTTTAATTAAAATAATTACAAAACAAAACTGGCTTATATATATTTTTGAATTTTTAAAGAATTTAAGATAACATCTTAAAACCTGAACTTATTTTTCTCTCTTTGTCTTCCAGTTGTATGTCCAGTGGTGCATGGGCTCTCAAGTTCACATGCTCATTTCTAGATTGTTCCCCTTCATCTTGCTCCATCTTCTTGATCTGTACTGCCTGGGCATTATCAACAATGTAACTCTCTGTGGTGAACATATTTCTCTTGTATCTTGATTTGCCAATGTAAGGACTTTCATCTGGGGCTTTATCAATTTCAGCATACTAAAAGCAAAATAAATTAATAGATTTATGGTTTAATAAGTAACTTTCAAGCAGTCAAATGACATTATTCATTTTACTCGTGGCAAACATCAGAGAGCTGTCTAAGTCTGAGTTAATACTACATGTGTATAAGATGAAAAAAATTATTCTTTTATTCTTAATATACCCAAAAGGAATCAGAATTAAAAATGGTCTCAAAAAGTGAAAATTTGGATTAATTAAAGAACTACTTATATGATTTTAAACACTGCTTATTCTTCCACATCAAAAATGTGGGCATTTTATTTTAGTTTCTTGGTTAATATAAGTAAAACCTCAGTCTAGTAAATTTTAATCAAAATTTTAAAATTAAGCAACATGACATGGGTTGGAATGTCTGGGTCTTAGAAGTTAGGCTGTTCCCCTGCTGCAGTGGCATTTATAGTATTTGTACCAGTAATGGTTAACTAACACTGAACTCAATGATTATTAAATAAACCATGTAAGTAAATGACTAGTTTATGGTACTGAGCACCTTTTCTGAAAGTCTGGATTTCAAGGAGCTGATTAGTGCAAACCCTCAAGCACAATAACTATGGGTTAATTGGCTGATTTGGGTTATGAATAGGGCTAAAGAAAAGACCTTAGGACTTTTTACTTTTTTAGGACATTGTTTTAACTCCCTGAGCCAAATCATTCACAGATTCAACCAAAATACAGTTTATTATGTTGATGCCCTCAATAAGAAAGTAGAATGGATACTGATAAAATCCCTTGACTATCTCTACTACATGCCTTCTCCCATCCCACCCCATGCTGGCTTTAACTCTTGATTACTAAAATATTAAAATAACTCACCTCTGTTGGATAATAATTTAGTGGTTCAAATTTGGCATCGATTTTATAAAAGGCCAATTCCTGTTCTAACTCATATTGCTTCTGACATGCTCGCGTTAGTTCCATGGTCTTCCGTTTTAGCTAATGGCCCAATTTAATATGAGACAACACATAGTATCAGTATGTTAGTAAGAAGATGCAATGGTATGGCAAGTTCTCATCATAATTAATAACTCTACTTTTTAAAACACCACAGCAAAATAGAACAACATTCATGTCATTTTATCTTAATTCTAAAGTATTATAAAGAATAAAATATAAAATCATTTCACAGGAGATCAGGTAAAAAGACCTTTGAAATATAAAATGAGTAATATGAATAAAGTAAATAACGATTTTTTTAAATCATTTAAATTTGTTTTAACTAAGCATGAAAATAACTGTATCAATTATTTTTAATTAATTGGCCTACTAAGTACCTGCTTCCTGATTTCCCAATAATTAGCACTAATTTATTTATTTGTTAATTTTAATGATACTTTTAGATCATAAAAAGAAATGATATTTGACACTGAATAGAGAAGAATAAGAATGAGGGGAGGGAGGAAATTATGAAATAGATGTTAGTGGTTGTACTGCTGCTGCTGTAGTATTGTGGCGAATGGCATCTCAGTTTTGAGTGTTCAAACATTATTCTTTGTATTAGAGGGTAAGGGAAATGAATAAGCTCAATCAGATTTAAACATATAATACAAAATTTTTAATAAAGTAATTCTGGTATAATGATAGCATTTTAGTCAGTGCTGGGAAAACACAAGAAATCATTCGATATAGTCCTGGGTTTGTAAATAAAGTAGCTGAGTCTCAGACTGGTGAATTGACTTGTCAAAAGTTACATATTAGGTTAGAGGCAGAAGCTAAGTACCAGTACTGGCCCCCTTTCCTCCTCCTTTTTTTTTTATTTTATTTTTTTTTAATTTTTGCCAGAAGATGTGTGTGCTTACCAGAGAGAGAGAGAAGGAAAGGGAGAAAGCATCCTCTATAGGGAATGGTTATATCACAATCCCTTCTCCATTTCTCCATCCTGTTAGGATTCTGGGCACTCACACATATGCCCAGTGTTTTTCAAGCCACTGGGGCCAGGATTCAAAACATATGGACAGCCATGTGGGATCTGATTCCCTTAACAACCAGGCCACAGAGTTGGCCCACGAAGGAACTGCTTAATAAACTAATCCTTTGAGTTTATTTCAAAGGTCCACTAAGTGATTTGTGTCATTTTTTAATTTTTGCCAGTGTCTGATAGAGTTCAGACAAAAAAACATGCAGAAATTTTAATATAAAAATGCAAGCTGAAGAGAATAAAACATCAACAAATATAAACATTTCACAAGGCCCAGGAAACCAAAGTCATGCATGATTTAGCTTATAGTCACCTTCTGATTATCCATCAAAATGCAAGTAATGCCAGCCTGGACAACAGATAACACTGATCTGAGTATTCACTGTGTGCCAGACACTGCACTAAGCATTATACACATACTTGTCTCATTCAATGTCCACCATCACCCTATGAGATGACAAAAGCTGCACAAAGAGGTTAAATAACTTGGCCAATCACATAACTGGTAGTGGATGAGGTAGAGTTCAATTCTGAGACTCCTGATTTCAAATTTAACACACTGCCTCTTGTACTTTACTGCCTTTAATGTACTGCTGCAGTGCATCTACTTCTTTATCCACTAACATTTTTTTTCATCGGACACTCATAAGTTTCTGAGTCTCAAGAAAGCAACTTACAACCAACAGTGTCAACTAATCTTGGGCTTCTCTTCCCAGTTCATTGGGAACAGGGTAAAAAGAAATGCAAATGTGACTGGAACCACAGAAAATGCATTGGGAAAATAATAAACAGTCTATGCACTTCAAAGTACTTTTGTGTCTTATAGTCTACTTAGCATATAGTAGGCACTGAATAAATGTTTGCTGAAGAAATGTATGAATGAGAGCAAAATAGGAGTCAAAAGAACTGAAACATAAGCTAAATATAGTATTAGCTATGGATAATCAAGAGTTGACAGTAAACATATTTACAATAGGAAATATGATACAAATTGCTTTCCCCACATTCAAATTTGCTCTCCTATGTACACATCCATCAAAAAAAAAAAAAGACATACACATAACAAGCACATTTCCCGAGGAGGCAAGCCTTAATAGTTTCAAAACTTAAATGTAAACAAGCACATTATATGAGTTATCATGCAAACCATGAAAAATGCAAGTGTGTAGAACAGCCCTAAAACAACTACCTTTATGGAAGAATAAAGAATCAGCAGAAAAGGGCCTGCAAGAAACCAAGACAAGGGCCGAAAGGAGAAAGAAACAAACAGATATTGTCAACTGGAGGAGTTAAGCTGTAATAATACAAGCGAGATATTGTCACCTGGAGGAGTTAAGCTGTAATAATACAAGCGACTCTTTACTGAAAACTTGTTGTAGAAAGATAGTTATTAGTACTTGCATTATTACATGAGCAAATTTTATCATCACTCTGAGTTATATATTTACCACCTTCCATTATTTAGCTTGATTCATTTCAAATTATTTTCAAATTCATTACCTCATTAAATCCTCACAATTCAGTGAAGCTAGCAGACAGGTAAAACATTCTCATTTCAGAAGTAAGAAAGCTGAAGGACAGAAATTAAACAACTTGCCAAAGGACAAAGAATAAGTCCAGTTAATATTTACTGGTGGTATGATGGGAAACTACCATAGTTTAAATGGCCACCAGAAGACTTATTTCAACTCGACTTTTCTAAGTACTATAATTAGCGTAATTAATAGTTACTTTATGGGGACCAGCAGTTAGCGTAATGGCTATGTCGCTGGACTCCCACGTAGTCGACCGTGGTTCGCGTCCCGGACCCGGTGGCTTAAAACTCATGCCGGGCGCGTGTGCGTGCGTGCCCAAGATACCAAGAGGAGACTGGAGGAGAAGGGACTGCTGCGTGGCCATCCCCCCTGGGGGGTGATTTCTTGCTTTCTGTCTCTCTGTGTCTCTGTCTGTCTGGCGAGCGCACGTGCCCTATGGCAAAAAAACCTCTCAAAAAAAAAAAATAGTTATGTTATGACACTGGAAAACATTACACCACTGTAGGTGATATTATCATCAGATATTCTGTAAAAGACAATGTAAAATAATTTTCAAATGTAAGCTCTTAGAATAAGACCCAAATTCCTTTTTTAAGCATATAATAATCCTTTGGAATCATTATAAACTGGTAATTTAAAAAAGAAGTATAAAACAGCTAATAGGGACCAGCAGTTGGCATAATGGCTATGTCACTGGACTCCCATGTAGTTGACCATGGTTCGAGTCCCAGACCTGGTGGCTTAAACTCACGCTGGGTGAATATGCGTGCGTACCCAAGATCCCAAGAGGAGAATGGAGGAGAAGAAATTGCGGTGTGGCCATTTCCCCCTGGGGGGTGATTTCTCGCCTTCTGTCTGTCTTTCTCTGTCTTTCTGGCAAGCGCATCCGCCCTATAGCAAAAACGGCTCCAAAAAAAAAAAGCAAAAATAAACAAGAAAAAACACTAATAAATATATTTCTGATACTCGGTTCTCCAAATATTGAAACGTAAATGTCTACCAAAGAACATTTCAGTTATTTGCAACTTTTGGTAATATAAACAATGAATTGAATATTCTTGTGTGTGTGTGTGTGTATGTGTGTGCACACACGTATAAAATCCCGAAAG